AGGCAGGAAAGTTGGTGGAGACTCGTAGCTATTGTATCTTCCTCTATGGCGCGCACTTCTCTGCCGTAGTGGGAGGGGCGTACTGCTGAGGAAAGTACGAAGGTCGTGTGTCTCCGCCCACTTCTCCGCCCATACGTTTATCGCGGAATGAGTCATCAAATAATTGCTGTGATTTGGCAGTTTTCCAGGGTGTAATCCGCCTAAAAATCATTGAGGCGAAGAACCTCGAGAATCGAGACATTTCGTTCATACGGAAAGGAAAAAGTGATCCATACTGTGAAATTCAAGGTAGTCGTCATTTTCTTCCTTTTTCGAATAGTCTTGCAGTACTCTAAACGAAGGATAATTTTTAGTTGGATCACAATTTTTGAAGACGCGTACTATTGACAACGATTTGAATCCGGTTTGGAATGAGTATTTCGAAGCCGTTGTTGATCAGGTGATTCGGGATTTTTCGTTTTTTTTTGTCTCGAGCAGGGCACATAGCTTGTTGGGGAATCTCCAGTGGAGACAGGGGTCGTACTTGGTCGCTGGAAGGAGGGCCTCTCCATCTCTCCACTCTATGGCAAAATTTTGGGGAGAAACTGAAGAAATTCCTGGAAAACTGGGAAAAATGATAGGAATCCGAGGGAAGGGAGGGGTCGAATTTTGAGAGATACCCCCAACGAGGGAAAAACCCTGAGCTCGAGTAACGATCGAAAAGGATCGAGGGTGCTAATAAATTTGGTTGGAGGCGAAGGAGGAGGGAAAGATTCAGGGCATGGCATTCGAGAAACTCCTGGAATTCTGAAAAACTAAAATTAGTATTACCCAAATAGAATCACCTTGCTCTGAATTGATGCAAAGTAGGGTGATTCTATTTGGGTAATTCTGGAACTGTTTCCCCCGTTGAGCCTACACGGAAGTCCACATCTCTATCAGGGTAATTCTAGTTTTGCACGAAGCATTCCCCCCTTCCCCCCACCTAATTGTTAGCGCGGGTGATTTCAAGTGTGATAGAGCAGCAGTAAGGCCGCGAATTCTTTCCATGCTTTCCATACTTTTCAGACTAATGACTCTTCCTCTAAA